GAGATAGCTCAGCTGTTAAGAACATTGACTGCATTTCCAGAGGTTCTCAGTTCAATTCCCAGCAACCACATGGTGGCTCACAACCATCTGTAATGGGATATGGTGCCCTCTTCTGGTGTGTCTGAAGACAGCTACAGTGTACTCACAGAAAATAAATAAATAATTTTTAAAACAAACAAACAAACAAACCAACTTTAATATATTCAAACACATCATGAAACCCCAAAAATACTTGTTTTAGAGCATCGCCAGTGTTTCCCAAACTTTGTTTACCAGGAAGCCATTTCTTTTTCTCCTTTCAGTCCTTGGCCCCTTAACAGAATACTGTGCATGGCTAGCACTTTACCCAGCGTTCTTCACATTGCCTGGTGTCCATGTCCCCTGTCAGAGATCTGTGCATTTCATATCCTTTTGTAAACCCTGCCTGGCCGGGGAAAATATTCTGTAACTGGACATTGTAATCCTTGGCTTAACAAATAATCTTGACATGAGTAAGTATATTCAATTTTCTTAGTTTCCCGTGTTTGCCCTCCAAGTCTGTGGAGAATTCTCTTGTGAGAAGTACACAGGGGCTGTGTGGGGCTCCCGCCCACTCTGTTAGTCAGTTTCATCTTCATTCACTAACTGTCTGTTTGAAAATGATGAGCTGAAAATCTTGATCTTGAAGAGTAGGACAACACTCTTCAAGTCTTAAACAATAATGATTATCCCTTGGTTAGAGTTGGTAAAGGGATGAAGGGCAATAATTGCCCTTAGGTGTAAAATGACTATTAATGTTCTACACATATCAATTAATGCTGGAAATTAATATGGCAGCAATTATTCCTTAACCAGCTAGTTCCCCAAATAACCACCCAAGGACCTTTTAATATTTCGAAGCTTAGGCCTTAGTTGGGCAGACGGTCAACTGGCTCATCTAAGTTAACCTGACCATCTGGCCACATGGCTAGCTATACCTTTCAGGCCCATAGTCATATCCTCTCACATCTCCTGGATAAAGGGCCTTCCTCTTCTTCCCAGAGTTCCTTTCTCTCTTGCAGGAAGTCCCACCTTCTACTTCCTACCCAGCTAATTGGCCAGCAGATTTTGATTATAGCCAATTAGAGGAGGCCTTAGGTAGGTGAGGAAGGACAGAGACACAACTTCACATAGTATGCCTCAACACTTAGGTGTTTAAAAGCAACAGCTTGCAAGGTGAAAATGTTCTGACTACACTTCTTATCTAGTGCTGAATGTTGCACTAATTGCTTTGTTTTCTCCTATTTAGAAATGCCTTCTGCCTCTTCTCCATCAACCTAGCTCATTCTAGTTCCCTCAAGCAGCCTGGTTTAGGTCTTGCCAGCTCCAGGAAGTCCTCCTTGACTAGAGGTTTCTAACAATATACCCCCTGACTATGTTACATGGCACACCATAGCTTGCCATTTTTAACAATACCGAATAGAAAGGGTTCTTCTGTGGGAGTTAGCCCAGGGCCTCATCACGGATGAGCCAGGCAGGTTCTTCACATTGGAAAATAAGAACATGATAAAAAATCTCTTTCAGGTGTCATGGTGCACACCTGTAGTCCTTGTATTCTGGAAGGTGAGGTTGGAGGGTTGAGAGCTTTGAGGCTTGGGCTGTATCATGGACTTAAAAACAAACAAACAAACAAACAAACAAAGGCAAGCAAGCAAACCCAAAGAAAAGAAAATGGGGCTTGAGATGATGGTTCCTTTGGTGAAGTTCCTGCTTGAAAGGCATGAGGATTCAAGTTCGAATCCCCAGCATGGTATAAAAGTGGGTACACAGCAAACATCCAGTGTTGGATCAGTGATAGGATAGGGAAAGTTGGAGCCTGTTTAGCTAGTCATTGAGCTCCAGGTTCACTGAAAGACTTGTCTCAAAAAATAAGATGAAGAGCAACTGAAGAAGGCGCCTAAGGTTGACCTCTGACCTCCATATTCACACCCATGTGCACACATGAACACACACACACACACACACACACACACACACGAATAACAAATCATGATCCTTATGGCTCTGAAACCCTGTATTTCTATGTTTTGCTCTTTTGTGACAGAGTCTCATGTAGACCAAGCTGACCCAGAAGTGAATGTCATTCTGAAAATGACCTTGAACTTCTAATTCTCTTGTTCACCTCCCAAGTGGTGGGATGACAGGCATGCAGGGCCTTGGCCAGTGTTGTTTTCCTGTTATTTGTTTTCTCCCTGGGTACATAAGCAAACACCAGTTTTCATGGTTTTCTGTTTCTCTGGTCCTCCCGTCTTTCCAATTAAATTTATTATAGACGCTTGAGGATAAATATCATAATTGTTTAAGCATTAGTTTATTTCATCTAACTCTGGTGCAGCATAACAAATGTTTGCTGAGTAAATGGAATGAGATGATGCCCTGTTATCTAGTAGACAGAGCCTTTGCATCTGTGTGTCAATATCATAACACTTCCCTTTCAGACTTACGTGTTGCCCCCATGAGAACAAGATGTGGAGGGGTTTTTACGAAGTAAGGCTGTGTTCTCAAGGTCTTCTTGTCCTTCCCCTAAAAAAAAATCCTCCCTGTGCAGCTGGAGGTGGCATCGTGCTGTTTAGCATTCCTCCCAGGCACGCTCAGCTTCTTTCCTGTTGATCCCGTGGTGTACAGTTCCACCCACTGCAGTCTTACTGAGAAGACTAACTCGTCATCGTCCCTGGTGTTGCACCCACCACCATCACGGGAACAGATTCATGTGTTTCAGTCTTCCTCATGTGATTCTCTCTCTTTGATATTCATGCACTTTCTCTTACCCACTCTGTGATCTAAAGCAAGACCCTCTCCAATACAGCAGATAATCTTGTCACTTGTTAGAAGCCTTCCTTTGCCAGTAGATGCTAACATCGAGTGAAAGACAGACATCCTATTTTCAACTCCCTCCCATTCCACTAGGGACAGGCTTTCTAAGGCTTCCCAAAAGACTGCCTGCAGGCCTCTTCTGACAGCCTTCCCTGAATGTCTGTCCTCAGGAGGAAGGTTAGAGGTACACTCTGCTCGGTGCCTATTTCATGTGCTGTGAAGTTTTTCATGCTGTCACTTAGTCTGCATTTGGCTTTGCCCCTGAGTCTGTATGTTGAAGCCTTGGTAAGAGTTACCTGGCAAGGAAAGCATTCCTATTTTATCATTTCTTTTCTTCCTTTTAAAAAACAAACAAACAAACAAAAATGTATTCGTGTGTGGTGTGTGAATGTGTGTGTGTGTGTGTGTGTGTGTGTGTGTGTGAAGTGCTGGCTGTGGCCAAAAAAGGATGTTGGATCCCCTGGATCTCAGGTTATAGGCAGTGGTGAGCCATCAGATGTGCATGCTGGAATCAGAACAGTAATCGTTGAGCTTTTGGGTGGATCCTGGACTTACCATCATATCCCATTCCCTCTGAGGATCCAGGTCTATCTGTCTTCATTAGCCCTCAAGGGACACATGGCTATTTTATTTTAGGGGTTTTTATGGTCCACATTTAAGTCTGGGGGGAAGAACATCACCAGGATTACCAGTCAGATAGCCCTCTTGAGTTCCTTCTTTTCTGGGCAAACAGTGACTCAAATGTGTTTTTCTTTGATAGTCACACAGACACATGAATATACATAGAATCCAGGGAAGATCGCTCATGGGAAGACAACAGCAGTCTTTTGTGAGCCTGTGCGCCTGATTTTGTATTGTTGCTAGGAAAAATTATAGGCTCTACAAACCACCCTGGACCTATAAAAGTCAAATGATTGATTTCTCCCCATGGCAAGGTGGAGGTGGTATTTATAGTCTTGTGGGCATCAGTTTGGAGATACTCTAGGTGCTGTTGGCTTTTCTAGCTGCAAGCTCCGGTTCTAGGAGCCCCCAAGGCATTTGCCAATGGACTGACAGGGGAACAGGAATGTTACCGAATATCCTTCAGGACTAGAAGGTGAGGGGAAGTGTTTTGAAGTGAAAATTGCAAAGCTTAAAGCTCCCTGTGAATCTGACAACTGGGGATTGCTGTGAAGAATTGGGCTTAAATGCTCTGTCAAAGGCGCTCAGAGGCCACTAAACTTCCTACTGCTTGCCAAGGCTTTGGGTTGGTCCTGGCATGCCACTGTGGGATAAACCACAGCCGTTGATGACATGGAGTGGGCAGAAGGGCATTCCGTGTTTATCCCGAGTCTCCTGTGTTAGCTTGAGACTGAAAGATGTTGACACTTCCTCCTCTGATGCAGGGAAGCTACTCAGGAAAGAGAGGTGATGGTGGTTGGAACGGTTTTCATCAGATCCCATTTCAACTAGAGATTTCTGTGTCAGAGGATGCAGCAACATGCACTGAGTTGTTGTTTTCTTTAGATAGGTCACTGAGTCCAAATGAGAAAGCCGTTCCACCAGGGTGGCTCTAACCAATCTGCTGCAGAGGGGTTCAAACAGAACCCGACTTTTACCGTTTTGCATGGACTTTCTGTTCCCACTTTTCATGATTCCATCACAGCTCGCCAGAATTATGTGTCAGTCACTTTCAGTTCTGAGGCCTCTCTGTCCTCTCAGAAAACATTAGAAACCAGTGGCCGCACTTCTCTGTTGCTTGCAGGTTTGTTTCTTTCTTTGCAAGTTTCTAAATGCATCCCTCAGCCCTCCCACTCCACCAAATAAGACCATCTCCTGTAAATGAGTAGAGGTGATATACCTTAGTCCCATAGGCTCCAAAGATAAATTTCCTTCTCTTAAAAATGCTTTCCTAAGCAGTCTGCTTTTCCAATGTTTCAAATATTTCACAGTAGATTGAGGGTAAAAAAGTGAGTTTTTAATATTTACCTACAACAGTCTCAAGTAGATTTCTAGTGTCTTAACTAATTCAATTCATTGAATTTTTCTACTTTCTGATACATATTTCACAGGGCTAGTGATCCAGTTTTTCACCAAGCCGTCTCACCTCCTCTCTCTTACATTATATTCCTAGGGAAAGAGAATGTCTAATGTTACACTTTAGAATTCTTTGTTGTTTTTGCAAACAGGTGTCTCATTAAAGACTTTGAAAAGCGGCCGTCGGTCACCCATCTCTTGGACCACCCATTCATTAAAGGAATTCAAGGCAAGGTTTCGTTTCTGCAAAGACAGCTGGCCAAGATGCTCCAGGACCAGAAGCATCGAAACCCTGTTGCTAAAACCAGGTATGGTTCTCTGTGTCGCTCTGATTTCTTCCTCTGGGTATTTATAAGGAGGCTGTGGCTGTGCTTGGGTTTGCCCCACATTTTAATTGGTAACAACCACATCCTTGCATTTCTCAGAGTTTCGTTTGTGTGACTTTAATTAAGCATGTCCCATGGATGAACTGTGGATTCAGAAACAAACTGCCTATTTAGATGCCTGTGACCGATTTCTCTCAAATGGCTGAAATCTCACTATCTTTATGTTCAGTTGTTAGTAACTGCAAGGTGAACTGTGGTGGCCCATACCTTTAATCCCAGCACTCGGGAGGCAAACAGAGGCAGAGGTAGGAGGATCTCTGTGAGTTCTAGGCCAGCTTGGTCTATAGGACAGCCAGGCTACACAGAGAAACCCTGTCTCAAAAACCCAAGATAAAATAAAAAAAATAAAATGTAACTGCAAAACAGTCATGGCTCAGATTATGTGAAGTTTTTAACTGGCTATTGCACAGTGGGGACCTAACATGGACTCTATGAACAGGCCATGGAAAAAGTTTGTGTTAAATGCCAGAGACTGTTTCTTTGATGGGCTCTGAGCCTGTTCTCTACAGAATCTGTAGACTTATCTTAGTTTTATTTTTCTTGTATTTTGTCTATGCTAGCTAAAGCAGCCAGGCTTCTACACGGCTCTAACCTTCTCCCCGACTTTTTAAAGGGCATATGGTTTTTAAAAGATGTTTATTTTTAGGATGTGGGAGCAAGTCTTTAAAACTCTTTTCTGTGTGAATCTCTAAGAAACAGATCTTTGATTTCTGTCCAGAGGGTGGCAGAGTTTCTCTTTAAGGAAAACCGAATTTAATTGCAAACGAAGTTCCCCTACTCAGCAATTACTTGGTTTTTATAATTCTGGCCAGAATGCAGATAAGCACCAGTCCACTATTATTAAAAGAACATTCAGAATACCAGAGGTGAAGAAAATAACACAGAGTAAGTCGATTCCGGAGATCTCCCTGTATTGTGCAGAAATCCCTTTTACAAACCAGAAAGCCAAAGCCAGGCTTCCCAGAGATGGAATTTCAAGGTGACTGTGTTGTGCTGATTTTCTCTGTTGTCACAGGTTTCTGCTTAGGATGATGCAAAGCAAATATTTTCCTATTGGTTCTTCCTGCCATGGCTATTTCTGTGTCTGTGGCTAGCCGACAAGGCAGAGAGACCCATGCTTATGACTTGGTGCCTTTTGAAGCAGTAGGAACTTGTGCTTAAGGCCAGGGAAACCAAAACGCCACTTTCCTTTAGTTTCTGTACATCAGTCTGCTCCACACATTCACACACACACTACCAAAATGAGGATGAGATGCAAACACCCAGAAACCCAGGCCCTTAAGCATTTAAATCAAACCCAGCTTCTCCCATCTCTGTTAGATCAGAGAGCTGTTATTCGGTGGCTTCTAAGACAGTTCTCAGACTTACCAACCACCGTATTTCTGCCCATTTTTACCTGTGTAGTTCTACATCCCCATGTTAAACACCCATTTTCCCTTAGAAAACCATGACGCTGTGCACGCACAAATACTTGCTCTAATTACTTTTTGCCAACTTTTTTGATGTTAGATGCCTGGTAGGTGGCAAAGGCTTCTCGCAGGGCCTTTGTAATCTCCGGTTTCATTCTGTTCTTGGTGTTCCTTTGAACAGTCATTACAAAAAATACAATCTCACCAATACATATCAAAACGTTGAACAGCCCCTTCCTTAGGAGGTCAGAAATAAATTCCAAAGGGAATACAGTGTAATTGACACTTCCTCTTAGCAGCTAGCAAGGTGCTGGCTATATATATAGATGTTTTGTGAACCCACCAGGAAAAGCTCTCAGCTGTCATTTGCAGCTGGCTAGCCAATCTATCTGAAGCTGTGAGTTTCCAGTGAAGGTGAAGAAAGCAGAGACTAACAGAGGTGAGAGCAGGGATGGATGGGAAAATAGCTCCCTCATTTCTTCCCAACGATGTTCACACACCAGGCAGGGCAAACCAATGATTAAAACCACGGGCTCTGCCAGATTTGGGCTGTAGCTCCGCCACTTGCTGAAGAAGGTATTTAACTGTTTATTCTTCTGAACTTTCTTCTATAGGATGGGAGTTGTTTTGACTGTGGATTGAATCTACACATGAAAGATTAGGATGGCTCTGCCTACAGTGTTAACCTTCAATAAATGTGGGTCATAGAAAAATATCTGTGCATAGTCTGTTTAGAGTCCATCACTTCTTTTTAACACTATGGTCTTAGATACAATTTCGTTTGCTCTGATGAAACAGTATAACCCAAACCAACTTGGAGAGAAAAGGATTTCTTTCATTAACTCCTCATTAGCACTGTTCATTACCAAAGGCATTAAGGGCAGGAACTCAAACAGGGCAGGAACCTGGAGGCTGGAGCTGATGCAGAGACTATAGGGGGGTGTTGCTTACTGGCTTGCTCCTCATGGCTTGCTCAGTCTCTTTCCTCATAGTACCTCAAACCACCAACTCACGGGTGACACCACTCCCAATAGCCTGGGCCCTCCCATATCAATCACTAATTGAGAAAATACCCTCCAGGCTTGCCTACAGTCCAATTCTATGGAGGTATTTGATCAATTGAGGCTCCCTCTTCTCAGATGACTCTAGCTTGTGACTGATTGACATAAAACTAGCCAGCACAACTACCTTTCTTTTCCCCTTCGTCTGTGAAAATCCATCTCCTTAATTATCAGAGAAGATCATGAAAATAAAACAGTACGGAGGCACCAAAGGTTAAAGATATTGATTTCTATCTCTTTCTCAAAATCAAATTTATTCATTTATTCTCTGTAGAAACATTTACTTATGCATGTAGGTGTCAAGCTCTAAACAGAGCAGAACGACTGCAAAGGCAAACCAGATCTGGTTCTTGATGAAATGCTAATAGTCTTTGTATTGCACAAAAAAGAAGCAGATAAAACATGTTTCTCAACCTGTGGGTTACGACCCCTTTGACAACTTGCTAGTTCCAAAAATATTTCCATTATGATTCATAACAATGACAAAGTTATGAAGTGGTAATTAAAATAATGTTATGGTTGGGAGTCACAGTAGCATGAGCTATATTAAAGAGTCACAGCATGAGACAAGAACAGAAGTCTCTAGAGAAGGAGAGGCTGTGGTTGTCCTGACCCTGGCCCTGGCAAAGGGCACCTGGCTTTGGGATGCCTGGAAATAACCGAGAAGTGGCTGAGCTAGGATTTAAACCTGGCCTAGCCTGTGGTTTCTCATTTCCCTGCCTGCTTTATAACCATCATTGCAGAAAAATGAGTGGATGTTTATCACCTCAGCTCCAGTATTCTTGCTTCTTCTGTCTTGTTTGGAAAATCATAACTGGTAGGGTGATGGTCTTTGAGCATGATCCTGAAGATCAAACAGAAGATAGATGGGAAGGAAGCTATTGAGAGAGGGGCAAAAAGAAAACACTGGCAAGGGACACCTGAGCTGGAGAGAGAATGGGGAGACATATATATTAGCAGGCAGCCTTGGAGCTTTGTGGGCTAGGAGGGAGAGAGAAAGAAAGGAAAGGAAAGTCAGATCCATGGGCCTAAAGACATCTGTCTTGTGCCTTAGGCAGAAGGGAGCCACTGAAGAGTTCCAGGGAGGCCTGTGTTCTAGATTGTTCTGATGGTAGAGTGGAGAATAGAATGGGGTAGAACAAGACTAGAGACAGATATTGACCCATTTCAATAGTATACCACTACTTCTGCATAGGTGTCTCCATAGGACCATGCAGACTGAGTCTGAAGCTGAATCTGTATGGACACGGATCTGGGTGTATGTACAGAGGATTGCATCCAGCTCTGGCTTTCCATAAAGCTACTTCATGCAGAAGAGCTAGAGTTTAGACCCACAAGAGCTAAGATGGGCCTCACAACTCAAGCCCTCCTCCAAGCATGGTGCACTTTCTGCTGCAATGTGACCAATTCTCCATGATGCCCAGCCTTGCTTCTATACTCTTGAGTGTCCATCCTATCTGTCCATCATAACTGAGATGACCACTTATCCACAGTGTTGTAGCCCAGTACCATCTTCTACCTCTCCACTGTGAGAGGACTGGGGAGGGATTATGGATCTTCCTGTTCCCTTCTGTTTTCCCAGCCTTTGTTTTCCATAACCAATCTCCCCATTGTGACGGTCACATCTGCCTCCTACATCTTTACCTGTTTTTCTTTACTTCTTGTCTTGTTACCTGTTACCAGTCAATGACTTTCCCATCCTTTCCCATTTCCCATCAATCACTTTGTTAATTCTTCTATTCTTACCTCTGGTTCCTCAACTAGTTACCCCTGCGAAAACCTTCACTCTATTGCACTGATACTGTCCATAAAAAAGAGCAGTGATAACACATACAAAAGTTAGAAGATGCTGAAGCCATGGTATCGTCAGGACTTAGTGACGGGTTGGTTGGCTAGAGAAAGAAAGAAGTGCATCGTGACCTATCCGAACTGAGCTCCCAGCCCTGATTCACACTGAAATCAAAGAGAAACTACAAGACCCTAAGAGATAGCAGTCAAAGGACCACTCTATTTCTCTATCTTATCAAATGTAATGTCAAGTACATACAGGTTATCTTTTGACTCTTCCAGTTTCCTTCCTTAAGTTGCATTTTCAATGGTTCAAATAGTCCTAGACTCATGGTCAGAGTCCTGAGAGGCTTCATCCAGCAGCAGATGGAAACAGATGCAGAAACTTACAGTCAGACATCAGGCAGAGCTCAGGGAGTCTTGTACAAGAGTGAAGGATAGAGTTGGGTGAGCCAGAGAGGCCAAGGACACCCTACAGAGTCAATTAACCTGGCCTCTGGGAGCTTACAGAAACTGAACCACCAACCAAAGAGTATGCAGGGGCTAGACCTAGGCTCCCTACACATTCATAGCAGATATACAGTTTGTTCTTCATGTGGATCCCCTAACAATTGGAGTTGAGGCTGGCTCTGACTCTGTTGCCAGCCATTGGATCCCTTTCTCC